AGTATGGCTTCCGGAGACGCCGCTCCACGGTGGACGCCATCTGGAGCCTGCGAGAACGCGTAAGGGAGGGCACGCGGGAGGGGGGGTGATGGTCGCGGTGTCGCTAGATATCGCGAACGCTTTCAACTCCCTCCCGTGGCCCATGATTAGGAGGGCACTAGAAGAGAAGGGTGTCCCGGGATATCTCCGTGGCATCCTCCACAGTTATTTATCGGAGCGTAGCTTGGCATACGTCAATCGTGGGGAGCGGGTGGTCCGTGAACCGGTTACCTGCGGGGTTCCACAGGGTTCGGTCCTGTGGAACATAGGATATGACGAGATCCTTCGTCTGTATATGCCGATCGGTTGCGCTACCCTCTGCTACGCGGACGACACCCTGGTGACGGCAAGTGCGGACAATTTCGAAGAGGCACGTATTAGAGCGGAGATCGGTACCACGGCGGTGGTGCGAGCGATTGAACGACTAGGACTAAAGGTGTCGATCGCCAAGACCGAGGCCATTGCCTTTATGGCGGATAGTATCCCACGGGGGGCCGTGGTTCGCATAGGGGGGACGGTGGTCCCGATTGGCTCCGCCGTGAAGTACCTGGGTCTAACCCTGGACTCGCGGTGGACCTTTCAGGATCACTTTAGAGTGCTCGTGCCAAAGGCATGGGGCATGGCGACCTCCCTGGCTAGAATCATGGCGAACATAGGAGGACCCGGGGAACGAAGGAAGAAGACGTACGCGGCGGTCGTTATGTCCGTGGTGCTATACGGCGCACCCATATGGGCGCAGACGGCGGCGGGGGATCGCGGAATCCGAGGGGCGGTGCGGAAATTGCAGCGGCAACTCGCCCTCCGGGTAATCAGGGGGTACCGCACTATCTCGGGCGAGGCCGCGGCCATCCTCTCCGGGATGGTCCCTTTCGACCTCGCGGCGGACCGTCTCAGGAGGTCCTATCTCCGGAGACGGGAAATCCTTGCTCGGGATGGTGCGGTGGCCCCTGGCGTGAGTGCGACCCTTCTTGAAATGGAGCGTCGCCGAGCTATAGCTAGATGGGGCAGACGGATAGAGGAGCTGCCTCCGAGTGGCCCGGGAGCGACGGTACGCGAGGCCATGGGCGGTGACCTGGAGGCGTGGATAGGGAGGGCGCATGGGGCCCTCACCTACCGCATGACACAAGTCATGACGGGGCATGGGGTGTTCGGGGCCTATCTTTACAGGATAGGACGAATGAACACCCCGATATGCCTTTTTTGCCGGGCAGCCAGCGACACGGCGGGGCATACCCTCCTGTTTTGTCCGGCCTGGGCGGAGCAGAGGGGGGATCTCCTAGACATAATCGGGGTAGACAGAAGCTTCAGGGCGGTGGTGAGGGCCATTGTGCGCTCCCCCGAAGCGTGGGCCGTCTTCGCAAGGTTTTGCGAGACGGTAATGAGGAGTAAGGAGGAGGACGAGCGTGCCCGCGAGCAGGCTGCTCGACCCGTGGGAGCCTTGGCTCCTCCGAACCGAGGAGGCTCCGGTGATCGACATGTGTGAGGAGCATAGGTGTGTACATAGTATGTAAATAGTAGTATTAAGCTCCAATGACCGCCATGTGAGAGGAGCAAGGAGGCGTGCATTGCAAGGATAGGCAAAGCTGTACATAAAATGTTAGTAATAGTAATGTAGACGTAAGATAGACTAGGTTAGCACTCGGACGAAGAACCCGCTAAAAGGAGGTAGGGAGTTAAATGACTCCAAAGGCTGGGGGGCAGTCTGAGGTGATGCTGAAATGCAGTTCCGGACTGTCCCTCACAGGCAATGGCGGTAGTACGCCTTGGGGGAAGTTTTTAGTCGGTAGGCGACCGTCCCGGCGCGTCCCTGGGGTAGCTGATACTCCAGGGATCACGGGGCGGCCGAATCCGGCACTCCCGACGGTACGGGGCCGTCGGGGGTCTTCCCCTCCCCGATGGGTGTCCCGAAAGGGTCCCCCTCGGGAAGGGGTATAAGAAGATTTTCTCCTCCCACGCAAAACAAAAACAAAAAAAAAACGTTTGGACAAGTTGCCGAAATTGTCAAATTATAATGTTTAATTATTCGCATTAATTATTAACAAAAAACGAAAGTCCATTAATATTTTATGTTCAGGAGATTATCCGAATTATTTAAGCCATTACTAACACTGTGAGGCCTGTTTGAATGAGTTACTATAAAATTACTAAATTCGGGAACACCGAACCAACTGAGGGAAACGGAACGCACCGTTTCTTCCTGGCCATCTTGGCTGTAGAGGAAGTCATCTTGCCAGTCAGTCACTGCCGAACTACTGAATACGACGGACGTGCGTCTTGCCGGTGCGACTCAAGTACAAAGGAACCGCGAATACCGTATAAAACCGATTAATTTCGCGACGGGAAAGCGTGTTACCGTTAATTAAACATTGCGAAACGCGAATTAACGCGAAAAATCGCGAATTTCGGAAGAATTCCGTAAGTAAAGTGAAAACACGGGAAATCGGCAAAAATACGCCGTAATTCAATACAAAACGTCTCTAGTACGTTACCCGTTAACGCCACGCGTCGTAATTACGCGAATTAAACGAGGAATTAACCTCGATACACGTTGTACGCAGTAGGTGACGCAATATTGCGCAATCACCAAGGACGGCCATATTGGACACTGCCATTCCGTCGGAAGTGCGACACGACGCGACAACGCGAAGTAAATAAGTGAGAGCGAGAGCGAGTGTCGATTTATTCGAAATACGTGTGCGTGTGAACTGTGTGAATGAGAGGCCGTTATTAATTATTTGTTGGTGTTTTTCATTTTAATAAATATATCTCTGTTACACCAACGTGCCTTCTTGTCAATTACAACGAATACCAGTTCCACATTTAATTATAATCAACTACGCGACGAAGCGAGGCCACGTACGACGACACGAGCTTCTCCATCCAGCGGCCAATCACGTTCCAGGAAGGAAGGAAGGAAGCCAATCAGAGCTATTCATACCATTGAGGCCAGCTAAGCGGGATAACCAAGGACCCGGCAATCCTTCTCTATTAGTTTGGTGAAACAGAGTGGCGACCAAAGTAAGTCACGACCAGTGATAATTAAAAATAATTAATTAATTAAAGTAAATACACGGATTTATTAAAATTAGAGGCATTATTCCGGTCACAACCTATCCTGAAAATTTTAATAATTCCAAAATTCTCGGAGAGGGAAGTTACCAAACCTCTCCTGAAAATTTTAATAATCCTAGAATCCCAGCGGAAAGTTTCCGTACCTCCCTGGTAAATTCTACTCCTGTCGGTTGCAAGGAGGGAAGTAACCAAACCTCACTGTGCAACATAACTCAATTTTCAAATATTACTCGAGGTAATATTTTTTCGAAATAAGAATTAATTATTTACAGATTTTAATATATTATTCATCATTATTAAGATCGTTTCGAAGATGCGAATAAGCATCAAAAATTTGTTAAAATTGCTAGTCAATTTAACTCGTGATATTACTGCGGTAGTTTAGTAGAGTTAGCGTTTCAAGACCGGAAATTTTTCGGCGCGCGTTTCTGTGGGACTACATACGTAGTATATAAATTCACATAAGAATCATACAAGCATTAAAATCCAGCTAGACCGTGTAAGGCTTCGATTCTATAGTTTGTGTTAACTCAATTTTATCAAAAGGAGTCAAAAGAAAAGAGCTCCTCTCTTGAAGAAGTTAAATTACCAAGGGTTGGAATACCCGCAAAAAATGATATTCATCAAGATAATTCCTCTTACGTTACTATCGATGAACTTCTAGAAAGAATACAATCACATAACCCTTACATAAATGTCCGTAATTTCAAAAGAAACACACTATCTCCTAAAATCCTAGCGTCCACACAAAATCAATCTCAAGAAATGATAGAAAAATTTATGCGCAAA